CCCCCCCTAAATCTTCCCCTGCAATATAAGAGTACAAGGATAATGATGTGAAAAAAAAAATTAGCAAATAAAATAAATGAGAGGGAAGGAGATGAATTGCAGCAGTCGTTGATATATAAATTGTATAGTATCAGGCCAATTAAACCTTTTTCAGAACATCAAAACAAACTTTATTAAAATCAGAAAAATGCTTATTTTCTCACCTTGTATGTAAGTAGAATTGTGACTTGGTGATTGTGTTTTTTAATATCATAATCTAAAATCATTGTCATCCTAATCAACATTTTTTGAATTGTGTTCTATCCTAATTCCTTTTGTCTTTTGTGGTACCGGTATACCATTAAACTAATTTCATTTGTTTTCCTTTAAATTTTGTATCTTTGAATTCAGAAACGCACAGGATATCCTGGTATCCCTGGGATGCGAGGTCCTCCTGGACCTAGAGGAAAACATGGTATACGTGGTATCCGAGGCAGAAAAGGTCCAATTGGCTCAAAGGTAATTCCATTTTACTGATTTTTAGCCAACTCGAGAGTCGAGTGGGCGTATGTCATCACTCTATAGAACAAAGCAATTGCTATCAGAGGCTTCATTAGTGACAAAATTTTACTATAAATAGTGTGTATAGTAAAACTCAGCCCTTGTCATTTCCATCCTTAACTGATTAGCAATCACAACTGTATACTGAAGTAATCCATTCTAATACCATCCCCAACCAAGTACAGTATTATGCCGGGCAGCATTATTTTTCCCCATACAATTAAGGCAAAAATTATAGAGGGTGCTATTTTAGGTCAGTTAAGTAAACTGATATACATAAATTTGCATGGTTGACTTTTCCCTCTCGAAAGAGGTGTTAAGTGGTGTATCGAGTAAGCTGCAGTACTTATCCGTGGGTGAAAGCTACGGCGTATGCAAAATCTCTAAAATAGTAGGTAGTCAAGGCAGTGTAAAAATTAATGGACTTTTGTAATCATATGACTAGACACAGTTTACATACAGCATGGTCTTTGAAATAATTATTATTATTGTTATGATAATAATAACTGTTATGATAATAACTATTATTATTTTTATTGCTATTTTTGAATGTATACCTTTATATTTATATGTAAACTTGTGATTATTATACTATTACATTAATACTACTACAACTACTACTACTACTATGATTATTGTTACTGTATTACATACTTATGTTCGTACAAGTTTTTAAGTTGGTACAGTAGATGTAGGCATGAGTGACAATACCTTCCTAATAAATAAGGCCTACAATATTTTGTAGATAATAGCCTAATTATTATTTATTGTAGATTTATTTTATATTCTTTTATGATAAAAAAAGGGGGTTCAAGTCTGTGGATGTTTAACCCTATACTCTTCGTCATAATACGGTCAGTACGGCTTGTTGGTATTGCATGCATATTGTCCACTAACACTAAGGTACTCGCTTGAGCTTTGAATATCACACAGCAGCAGGAAAAATCTATAAGATTCTTGCAGACTCAGGGGATGGCATTACACTTGAGTTCCTATATACAGATTCCTATATATTGAATCTATAGCGCCACCAATAGTCACTGCCTCAAATGTCCAGGAAAAGAAAAATTGCCCACCGGGGCACTTAGGCGGGTCCCTGAACCCAGCCCAGAACTGCCTCCCCCCCCCTCCCCCTGCCTTTAGTAGCTTCTGGCTATGGACCTACAAATAAAGATCGCTATTGTGATTATTTTTTGTTATTTGCAACTAGTGAACAATAATAGCATGTTTTATTTATCTCCTAAGGGTAGCTTAGGACTCACAGGTAAACGTGGTCTGAAGGGAGCATTTAATTGCATGTAATTTCATTAGGTGGTCATGTCCTAAAAAAAAACTTGTTTGTTTGCTGTCACATTGTAAAAATAAAAAAATTTAAAATAGTAAAAATTTCCATGTAACACGGATCTGTGCCAAAATTGACGAAAAAGTGGTTTTCATTTGATCTTTTAAACTTAAAAAGAAAAACTTTTTTGGAATAAAAAAAAAAAAATCTGCCCTTAATTTTTGGGATTTCAGGGGCGGCGGATGACGCCAAGCAAAATTAATTGAACTTATTTTGACTACCTCCCCCTCGCTACATCTTTTATTTAAATAATGGCCTCTTTACTTCTGAACATGTTACTTATTTTATGACAATGTATTTCATAAGTTCTGTTTCATTTGATTCGTGTTCCTGAGTATGTATATATTGTTGTGTGAAGAACTAATAAAAAAATAAATCAATCAATCGATTAAACCGAAAGTGCACTTCACAATTTAGCTTACATATTTTAAATTATGTTCGTATGGTTCAAATGCTATTTCATAACATTTTTTTTAAAATCCTGCCTTTTTATAGGGATACCCTGGTCTTGTTGGCGAAATAGGGGTAAAAGGAGAAGCTGGTAAACCTGTAAGTGATTCAGTATTACTTGTGTCAAAAGAGGTCATGTAAATAATGATAATAATGATAAGAATGATAGTAATTATTCGAATAGTTTCATCTGGTTTACTTATAACTATTGTAGAAGTGTTTAATCAATAATAAAAGATGTAGAAAACAACACACAAAGATTACGGACACAGTCCTGAACCAGTCTACTGAACAAGAAACTTCACATGAATCAGCCATCACTGACCATATGGTGGTCGCCAAAATAAAAAAAACGGAACCTACATGGGCCAAAAGAACGATCATGGAGGCAATCTCTATAAGGAACACAAAAATGGACGATGAAAAGAGACGATGGGGCATACAAGCTTTCCCACATATATGACCAACTCCAGGGCCCCGGGACAAATCCTGACAGGAAGAGAACTGGCACCAGAGGGCGTTGTTCAGACAATGCCAAAACAACAGATGCTAGCTAACCTAGACGAAAGCTCGCTGTAAGTTTACATCATATTGTACTTGGTTTATTATTGATTAAACAGTTCTACAATGTTAATGATAATTAATGATAATATTAATAATTATGATAATAAATTATAATAAATGATAATAAATGAAAATAAATGATAATGGTAATAATGGCGATGATGACGACGGTGGTAGTTCTATGTAGATATTTTAAAAACACAATTTCAATGTTTGTTTATATATTTTAGGTAACTTATTTAGTATAATATTGTTGGCTATAATAACATTTGAGATATGGGTAAATCAAATTATTTGAACCTATTTTAACCCTTTCTAGTCATATGGTGTCGCTACGACACCCTCTTCGACCATACTTTATAGTGAGGGGCGTCGTACGTACGCCCTGTATCATAGATTTCATGGTAATTATTTTATAGCTAGGTTGCCCTCTATAGGATTTTTTGAGTGTGATGTAAGAGTATTTCTGTAGAGGGCCTCCTGTCTTTAGACCAAATAAAATGCCTGCACCCAGTAAAAACCCAACATTTAGTGTCGGTGATGTAATTTCCCAGCTTTGGTACAGCCTCAGGCAATGGTAATGCGGCAGACTGGAAAGGGTTAAGAAAATTGGAATTTAGGTATAATTTTCCACAGCGTTATCGTCGTTCATTATTCTATATATTCAATTTGTTTGTAATGCTTTGTGAACTTAAGTCAAGCACTTTATGCCACCTTAACAATAATCTGCTATTAATGCACTTTTTTCAGTTTTAGCATTCCAGAAGAAATTAAATATTTAGGCGCCCATTGATTCAGGAGATGACACTTTGTGGTGTGTATATAATGGCATTATAGATTAGTTTAGATACTGTCACTTTTCCAAAGAAAGTTAAATTCCCTTTCATTCAACAGTTTAAAGGTCTTTCTAAATTAATTACTTTATTTATTTTTCTTTTATTTATTTTTCATTACAACCAACATAAATTCCCAGGATTTTAATTGGTTCCTGTATCCGATAAACCAGTAGTCTTTTCGTTACTGCCATTTACCTGAGTAACGTTCATAATAGATCTTTTTTTAGTTTTTTTCTGCAGGTAGTTTGTGTGGTGATTTGCAGTAGGTTTGCATAGTGATTAACCTATAACTTGCAATGTGCTCAACACACTTTACCTGTAGTATACAATTTCAGTCATGCAACTTCAGTACTCTATATAGGAATGGTGATGCCTACTAAGGCTCTAGTTACAATACAGTACAATTTTTAAATTACTACATAATGGGATCTTTTACTGCTCAAAATATATTATATTGATTTTGTATTGCATACTAATGTAATTATATCTTTTATCAATATATAATAAAATCTTATGTCATTGATTTCTTTTCAAAAATGTATTGCATCTTAATCTAAAATTTTATGTAAACTTTGTTTGTTATGAATATTATCTGAATTTAATGTTAGGGTAATGATGGTTATAATGGTTATGATGGAGTTCCTGGTATGGATGGACCACGAGGACTCAGAGGTAGAACCGGAATGCCAGGAATACCAGGTGTTGCAGTAAGTCTGCATTTTCAAATGTATAATGTTATTCTTTGCTTTAATTTTTACACCTATATTGAGGTTGCATTTATAACACTTTCTTTGAATCATAAGCCATGAAAATCGATAAAACCAGTTGGTGGCTTTTGGTCTCCAGGCAATGGAAGCGATACCCTCATAACCTCACCATCCTTGTTGCTACGCAATTTTAAAAACTCAATTTTATGATTGTGAGCACACCGACAAACATATGGAATTCTATATTTCAATCTCAATGATTTTGTGTTTTGTGCATATGCGGTCTTCATATTGTTATTAATCCTTGCTTGTGGATGATGACAAAGTTAATAATTACCTAGTAATTGTTCTTATTTTATAAAAAAAAAACTGCATATTATAATGTATTTCCTGCCAATTGCAAAAATAGTAAATAAGTGAATAAATTAATATAATTTAGATAATATGTTAAATGTTTTTATCAAACAATTAGAATATTGTTGTTAGGTGAGTAAATTCTTTTTCGATAAAACCACATGTATGACGAACTTCTAATTTTTTAAAAGCCAAGGACTTCCTGAAATTTACATATCAGTGCAGGTTGTAGAGTGTGCTCACCCACCAACATCACACTAAAAACACCAAGTACGAGCTTTGGTGCCCGATGAAGATTTACTGAGAGTAGATCAAAACATTGCATGTACGTATGTTCTTGGTTTTATCAAAAAGAATTTACTAATCTACCACACATAAAAACCAGTTGAAGTTTTGAAAGATTGTTGTTTATTTTGTGTTTGTTGTTTATCTTGTTTTTTCTAAGGTGTCCATATACTGTATATGATTGACTGAAGCTTTTTGGGAACAATAAACTGATGATTGTACTCTATAGACCCTATATTGAATACGAACCTCACCTGTTGGGAGCCTCTCTTTAAATATTACATACAATTAATATTCTTGCATTGTTGTGTTGACTGTGTTGCTGATAACTGGATAACTGTATTGATGTTTTTTGTGATTATTATTGTTTTTATTAGCAAATTCATTCCTATTTTGATGTGTGTTTGCATCAGGAAAATATCTTTAGAGCAACTTCATTGATGTTAGATTTTAAATAGAATGGAATAAAGTAAAATTAATGTAATATAATTATTTTTACTACTGCCTCATCTACTACTGTAGTGTAATTTTAAATATTTTTCTTAGGGGGAAGGCGGAAAGCCTGGACCGCGTGGTGCAATTGGTGAACCGGTAAGTAGAACCAACTTTAACTTTTTTTGTGAAATAAATAGTTGTATTACTCTATTTGCATCCTCTACTTCTCATCACAATGATAAATAAATAGTGAGTTAAATCCTGAAGTCATCATTAAATGTTTTGCCAAGGTGGGGCTTGTTACCCAGAAGAAGATACAGATGCGTATGATCCCTTTGAAGGAACTGTGTTCTAAGATTTCAAGTGAGTGCCATGCAGCAGAAATGTATTAATGAATCAGTTTCTTTTTGTTTAAATGAAATTGATTTAAGTAATCACTTGGAAAGGGGAACTTAGGTCTGAGCATAGATAATTTAAGAGACCAAGAAGCTAGAAAGATGAAACAAGCAAATATTACTCAGTATTTTGTTAGACTTTTGTTTGGACATAACAGTATTACATAGAACTACAACTACTGTACAATAGCTATTCCAAAGTGTTATTAAAAATGGTTTGATTCTATTGTTATTCAACTTCAATTAAAATAATAGAATGAAGAAACTATTTTATCATTTTTACAAGTTGTATGACCACTTGCCAAAAAACCCTATTAAGGGGACAATTTCAGTTTATTGGTTAGTGTCCCCAGAATAGGAGTACCCCTATTCAATGGACACCCTTATTAAGGGGACACTTTTTTGGTCCGGAAGGTGTCCCCTTAATAGGGGTTGCACTGTATGAGTCATTATTGTATATTGGTATCTTGGTATCATGCCTTGCAAAATAACAAAGGCAATGTTACCAGTCTCAGAATAAAACACAGAAAAAACTTTATATGTATCGTATGTGACTGACATACTTATTGATGCACATAATTGGTCTTATGCTTATTATTTTGTGTTACAGGGCCCTATGGGAACAAGAGGCAGTCAAGGACCTCCAGGAAAGCCTGGTCCCAAAGGAGATCAGGGAAGACCAGGACGACAAGGTTTTTATGGCCCACTGGTAAGCATCACTTTCATATAAGGGCACTATAAATCACAATAAAAAACATAATACATGTACTAGACTTGTTATTTCTGCTTGTAAAGCAGAACATAGTGTAGGGCTTATTACTATAAAGAAAACTGATGTTTGAATTGTAAAAAAGGTCCCAAAGGAGAGCAGGGAAGACCAGGACGACAAGTTTTTTGTGGCCCACTGGTAAGCATCACTTTCATATAAGGGCACTATAAATCACAATGAAAAAACATAATACATGTACTAGACTTGTTATTTCTGCTTGTAAAGCAGAACATAGTGTAGGGCTTATTACTATAAAGAAAACTGATGTTTGAATTGTAAAAAAGCAATACAAAATTTTAAAGTATGAAATACATAAAAAACAATAATAAAATCATATTAAAAAAAATTATGAAGATGCAATTGTAATAAAATGGGTGATTTGGAGAGTACTATGCAATGCGCCAAAAACTATGAGGCACCAAGTGTTAATTTATTATTTAAAACAATTATGTATAATTCATTATTTAATGGATTAGATCATCCATTATTTATATATAAATAAATGCATTTACATCTTGAAATTATATGCAAATAAATGCGTGAAAATGTTCTTTATTTATATATATTAGTTTACTGTAGTGATTTCATTATATAGAAGTAATGTAAAGTAATTTACAATTATTTGTATATAAATAATATAAGGAAAGAATAACAAATCATTATATGTAAAAATAATGAAAAGTAACTTATAATTATTTATATATAAGTTCACTGATTTCATTATACAAATAATGATTTGACGTAAAACTCATTATGTATAAATAACTGCTTTTACATTCCATTACAATAGCTGTTGAAAAACCATTATAAGTATATACAGTACTGCTAGGGCGATTCTATGGCTTATCTTTCTTACCAATTATTTTCAATTTGTTTAACACCAATTACTTTAAATACACCTGTTATCATTTCAGTAGGCAAGACTGTTATTCCTTGTTTTGCGAACTTATTTTTTTAAAGATCATCAGACGAAGGCAGAAAAAAAATAAAAATATAATTTTGTTTTCATATTTAGCAAATAGTGTTGCCAAAAACATCCAGGTGCGGAGAAAATAAAAATAAAATTTTATTGGTGAATGTAAACAGTGTAGTAGTGGGATGGTTAAATGCTTCAAATGTATATAATTAGAAGAAATATATATAATTAGAAGAAATATACATATCTCATCTTTGAAGATTTCAAGGCAGCGATGGGCGTAAAAGAAATTTTTCTGAAATTTCCATTTTTTTGTGGCAGCGGGTACGCTAATTGGCAAAAAATATAATTTTATTTTTATTTGAAATAATCAATATTTGCATTTGGCGGGTTCGTTAAACAAGGCTTAAAAAATGTCATCGGTATTTCTATCTTCCCTAACACTAGTCACGATCACGTTTACACCAAAATAAATCTGCTCCAGGAAAGTCTGCTGTTGGTTAACAACTTGTTTTAGAGTTGCAGCTTCTTCCCTTAGTTTACCAATTTCAGGCGAAAAATATTTTGAATATTTTTTTTATTAAAATATTTTAATAACGATTGAGAAATTATAAATTCACTCAGTTTTTGTATTAATGCTTGTACTCTGTACATCATGTACTTGTACTGATATTTATTTATGTATTTTATATGGACAATGTCTGAAATAAATATTTGCAACCTTTTAGATTTTATAGTGTGTCAGCAATTATAAACAGGATTTTGTAATTTGTTTAGTTTGATGTACTAAAGAAGCTGTTCATATAAATTGCTTCAATACTGTGGTGTTCGAGGAAGTTTGATACGTTATATATATTTTAAAATCTTGAATAGTGTTCCACTGTCCAAAATAAGATCGTTTAGAAATATTAGGACACAGGTGTAATAGTTTCGAAAGTTAATAGGGGAGTTATTTATTTAGATTAAAATGCTTAACTAGAGTGATTTATCCAATATCAATCTTTTTGTCTGGTTGCATTACATATTTGGGTAAAATATGCTAATGAGCTAAATAAATCTTTCCAAAACAAGTTTTCCTAAACATTGTTGATATTATCTATATGTAGCCTTTTCATCTAAATGATTGTTAGAGATTTCATATAGCAAAGCATGATTATCATATTAATTCCCTCATTTCTGCAATCTCTAATTATTTTTGTGTTGTAATTTGCGAAAATTTTTTTGGCTTCTGCTTGTATTTTCTTTCTTTGCAAACTTGATGTAATAGACTTTCTCTTTCAGGGTCCTGCTGGTATTCAAGGCATTAATGGTACTAACGGAGCAGATGGAGCTAATGTATGTAAAAACCATTTATTCATGTTTTTGAAGGGTTTCTGTTTATAAGTTGATAAAGAAACACCACAAGCAAAACCTTATGTTGTTTGTACATACTAATTTTTCATTCAGTTAATTTAATTTAATCTATATTCTAGTTCTTAGTCATTACTGTATAACCCATGTCTATTAAAATGATAATGTAGAGTACAAAGGAATTACTGCATTAGATTTGTTGTCATTATCACATGACAAGCTGGCAAGAAATATTTCTGCTTTGTAGGGTTTGAATGGATCAACAGGTGCCATTGGTACTATTGGAGATCAAGGAACTTTTGGAGAACCTGGTGAGCAGGGTCCTATGGGATTAAAAGGACAGAAGGTAATAAGGGTTTTGATTGTTTTAAGGCTTAGGTTATTATAGTAGTGGTTAAACCTGAAGTGAAAACTGATTTCATTAAAATACATTGATTGGCTAGGATTTGTTGACTGCAATTAACAAGTATAGCTCAAAATGAGTTTTTGCCAAAGGTAAAACCAAGGAGTTGGAAATATGATTTTACTGGAGATCTTGAGTATCCTCTACAGTAGAAGCAATTTTGTAGAGGTTGCCTGAGGAGGCACTTTAGCTACATTGCTTCAGTCCACCCAGCTGTATCAAAAATTTTAGTGAAAGCCTAAATCACAGCTCCAGAGGCAAGACAGAAAAGTTCAGGATAGTTACATTTACTTTATGTAGATATTCTTGGTTTAGGCAGTGATACTGTCATTAATTTTCAATGTATATTATATAAGCTAGAATTATATTGCCAAAACTTGAGATCAACGGTAAATACTGAAAAGACAATTGTGTTAAAAAGTGAAGGGAAACTGAAGAAAATGGAGAAGTGGTTTAAACAGGATTTTCCTCAACGTCACCATAAATTGTCAATTCGACCCTAATAGTGGCAGTGTTAGTAAAACTGGAATAATATCTTACTCTGCTACTGAAATATTTTTACATGTAGCAAATGAACGGTCACGTGATGCGTAATCTAAACCGTGAACCAAAAAAAAAAAAAATAATGTGTTGCAGTCAGGGAATTACTAAGCAAATAATGAATTATGAGTGCAATGGGGTAGAATAATTCATGAGGTCAAAGACTGGATATTCTATTTAACGAGGCGAAGCTGAGTTAAATAATACATTTATTTAAAAAATTGTATGAGAAAGTAAAATACAATATAAAATGAAATAAAGAAGTCATGGAACATATCAAAATTTAGACAAAGGAACACAACAAATAGTATTAAGCAATATTTGTAAAGTAAATAAATATAGTATTTATTCAATGAATATATTTATTATTTAAATATTATTGTTATTTATTATTCAATTAGGGAGTTATTGGGAGTCCAGGTCGAAAAGGTGAGAAAGGTGATAGTGGAGCGCCAGGCCTTTCGAACATCAAGGGGAATAAAGGAATTCCTGGAGAAAAGGTAGAGATAACATGTACTATTTTATTAGATAGAGTAAATAAATATAAATAATCAGTGTTTCATTTTGAAAATTAATTCACCTGATTTCAATGCATAATATTATTTGAAAAAGTTGTTATGAGTATTGAAGTATTTTTCCTTTAAACTTTGTGGCTCACATGTCAACATTCTGTACTGTGTCAAATCTTTCAGGAACATTCTGTATTTCCATGATTGTATTCTCTTTAAATAAAACGGACGAGATTCAGAATTCACTTTATTTGCATATCTATAAGTGGCAAGTTTCACTTTTCAGTAATTAACTATAAAATATAGTACAATAATAATAGTCATACAATTGTATGGAATAATTGTATTTACGTTATTATTTTATTATAGTTTATAGTTAATTACTGAAAAGTAATTAACTATAAAATATAATAAAATTTAAATAGTAATACAATTATTACAAATTTTACTTTAAATTTCAGACACTATAATTTCATACTGTAGGCCTACTTTATTACATTTATTGTAAATGTAAGTAGTAGAGAAAGTCCTACACATCAATTATGATGGCAGTGGCCCTAAGCTGTTTCTATACAGTATGTTCCCATGAACTAAAATTTACATGTTGTGGTATGTTATTTCTGATTTAATTATAGGGTTTTAAAGGTAAAAGTGGCCCACCAGGTCCTACAGGTAAAAGTGGACTGACGGGAAAACCAGGTCTCAAAGGAGTGAAAGGAAGAACTGGTATGAAAGGTGAAAAAGTAAGTACAGTGTCAGATATGAAAATATATAAAATTTTAAGTAATTTATACGTTTAAGTTCATAGAGTTTTGTACTTTTTGCTCTAAAAAGAACTTTCCTTTATTTAGGGATTAGATGGCCAACCTGGAATGATGGGAGTAACAGGAATGCTTGGAGTAAAGGTAAGTCACTAACTTGCATGGGGTTTTTAAACATGAAATTCTGATATTAGTTGAACGGTTTCTGTTGGGTCTTGCTACTCAGGTTATGCCATGTTCATTAATTAGTGTCATCTAATGTTTTTATTGTAGGGTGAACCTAATGAAAAAGGTTTTGATGGTTTTCCGGGGCGTCCAGGTGATAAAGGAAGGCCCGGAATAAAGGGCATAAAGGGAAAACCAGGTGAAATTGTAAGTACATGGTTGATGTTCGATTAATTGTAATTTCCCAATCTAACAAAAAAACGCAGTTAACTATTCCTGGTGGAGGATTGGCTTTAATAGGTTGTCTTATAGGTGCTGTAATTTGAAAGAGCCATTACCTCCGTTATATTGTTCTTGTTTCTGCAAATCCTGGTAGATTCCTGAGTATGTATATCAAATAAAACCAACAATAAAATATTTGAGCATTCTTAAACAACAAAAATGTTGCTTAACTTTTGTACAAACAATACTAGAGTTTTATCCCAACTTAATTTATAATCCACCCATACATCAAGATATTTATATTTGTCTGTTCTATCTATATCCTAGTTATTAACAATAATAATGTTACCCTTATCTTTACGAAAATCAAATATAATTTTTTTTTTGTTTTTTTTTTTTAAACATCATTATAACGTGAATATGATTGCACCAGCTGACCAGCTTGGACACTTCATCTCTATATTGATTTATACCTTCCTTTAAACCTGACAGACACATATTGTCTGCAAACTTAACTAAGTTGTACAAGTGAGTACTATATTTAAGACCACTTGTAAGGTTTAAACAATAATTTTGAAAGACCACATCCCCGAGGTCATCCTGTACTAGATAATTAGTTTGAAAGAATTTTACCAACTTTAATACTTTATGGCCTATTGCTGAGAAAATCATATGTATTGGATGTAAATTCATATCCTTAGTTTCTGCATCAGTACGTGTATCTGAACTCGATGACGAGAGTGTCCTTTACATGAGATTTTGAAATGTTTGTGTTTAAAAATACATTGCGAGAATATAATGACTGCATCATTAACTCTTCTGTCAGAACTATATGTACATAGGTGTATCCATAACTATAAACTTTAAAACTATTTTTTCAATACATTTGATAATAATTGAATAAAAGAGCTACTGGCCAAAATCATTTGATACCTTTAGGTTAGCGATTTTATTTGTAAGTATAATATGTAAGGTTTTCCACACCTTAGGAATATGGAAATATTTGGTGACCATTCTTAAATTCTGAATAGGAGAATATTGCTGACTGGAATATGAAAACCCTTTCATTTAATTTGTCTTTTCCTGGAGCATTTCTTACCTTAATACTTATTTGTTTCTATTCTGTGAGCCATTGCAATGGTGATATTCCAGGTTTCAGATGCATAATTATAGCAGGGTAGAAAAAATAGTATTTTCCTTGTGTGTATGTTAATATTTCTCGATTCAAGAGTTAATTTCTTCTTCATTTCTCCCATTTTCCATGATTAAATAACCTAAAATAAAACATCTTCTTCACCTGTTCTATTTGTTTTCCATCGATAATTAAATTCAACTTTAGACTTTGCTTTAATGACAACTATCCTTTTGTTTTCTCACTGTTAATTTTCATTGCATACTCATTGTTCTTCACATCAGAATATGCTGGAGATCACCTTCACTATTTGCTATCAATGCTGTGGCATTCCAATTGATCTGGAAATCTTTTCAGTGTAGCGATTAATAATGCATGGAGGGATAACACAACCCTGCCTCACTCTTTTCTTGACAAATGAAAATATCTTTTTCCACATCCATTTTTTTCACATATCACTCTGAGATTAATGATTCCCTCTCTAATACCAACTCCTGGCCTAAATCCACTTTTACCCTTAGATAAATAGCATATATCAGGACATACCGTACATGTTTCTATAATATATTTGTCCTGTAGTGAACAAAAATGATGTTTTTGACCTTTGACATTAGATACCTTGAAATATCCACATCTTGAATTTAGAGAATTTGTATGAAATGCCAGAATATGCATCTTTTTACGTACATTAGCTGAAAATGTTGTCGATAAAATACAGAAAATGTTTGTTTTGGATCTCTGACTCTAGTAATTTTGCCATAGATATCATTTTTGTTTTTATTAGGACAAGAAAAATGTGTTTTTTTCTACTTAGCATACTCTTGCTGCTCTAATAATAAGACTAAATACACATGTATAGTGCATACTGTAATGCACAAAAATGCGGTTGTGCTCTTCACATTATACTAAAAAAATAAAAAAACAAAAATAATGCAGAATCTCTGAGGGATAACCGTCACCACCCTAGCTTAATCACGGGCCCCTACCTAGATGGTTTGAGAGGAACGGGACACACTGGTGCTTAGCGATGGTGGCTAAGAAAGGGGTCTCCCAAGAGAAAATGCAGTAACATTTATGTTGTAAAGAGATAGGTGTTTAGGAAAACTATAAAAAAAAAAATGGGTCGGGTTATATTGCTGATAACATGGTGTATTCAGGATTCAAAAGTGAAGGATCAATCACCTAACAAGTTGTGTTTGTCTTAGGCACATACAACAATCATTGACTGTGAGGATGATCTTAATCTATGTGTAGAAAATTGGACTGTAAATAATTGTCGGATATAGCTTGGAACCTCAATATGAATACCTTGCATTGCTAAAGTGGGAACGCCAAATGCGAATAATTTTAAAAGTAATAAATAAATAGATAAAATTTTAAAAAATAAATACAGTTATACTTGCCTAAGTTGACTGTGCCTAAGTCGAATAATTTCTAAGTCGATCTTATTTTACATGCCAAATTGTTGTGTTTTCCATTAATTAACAATATGTAAGTTAGACAAGCCAAACCAGTCACTCGTCGCAAATCGTGTTTCAGAGAAAATGGCCAAAACATGCTGGAATGTCAAATTTTTCAAAATCTATTTTATTTCACTAAACTAACCTTTATATATCTATACATCATTCTATGCTGTTATTTTCACAATTTTCAATGTTAAAACAACACTTTTTAAGGATTTAAAGATAGTTTCTGCATGAGAAATGCCTGAAATCATAAAATTTAAAGGCTGATTTCTCATATATTGTTCTTTAAACAGCTGTGTGGTTAAACGCTTGTAACTTCATAAGGAAATGTCGGATTTGAATGATTTTTTTTACCATTTTATAGCTATTATTTTACTCTCTAACAATTTATTAATAACTCAAAAATGATTTTTGCGACGAGTGACTGGTTTGGCTTGTCTTTGCCACATATATAAGTCGAACAATATTTCAATGGCATTTTGGATTCAACTTAGGCAATTTCAACTCTAGGCAAAAAGGAAGGATTGATCGCCAGTAAAAGTTGTGTTTATCTTAGGTGCAACGATCATTAGCAAGGCTCTACTTTTAGTTTCAATGGTTTTCTTTCCTACTTTTAATGTTAATTTAATTCAATTATATATATTTATATAAACTTTTTAATACAAGTATAAAATAATATCTTAAATGTCTAATTTTTAATTGCCTATAGGTCAACTATTTAATTACAATGCAATATATAACAATATCATAGAATATGTACTTATGTTTTAATGTGGTGGTTTTAATGTGGTGGTTCGAGGGTGGTCTTCCCTCGAACAACATCCAACGACAGGAAGGACGGCTAGCATTCGGCTGGCTGCGTTACCTGGCGGGGGCCCAGTGGCATCGGTGGGCAATAATGTTATTTGAGTTATCTGTAAATCTCTCATAATTAAGAATTTAATTTTTTATTTCTGTTGCTTTGTTCTTTTCTGGATGCACCATTAGAATTTGTCTAATGTGTGCCACTGTTATAAAAGTGTTATCCAATAAATATTGTATTGTATTGTGCACTGCCTGTTTCATGTATTTTTTCTAACTTTTACGAGCTTTGTCAACGCAACAAATTTACTTTTGCACAAATAAAGTTTTCAGTATTCATTGACAGTGAGGATGATCCTAATCTATGTGTAGAACATTGGATTGGAAATAATTATCGGATATAAGTTAGTGATATCACTCAGTGTGAATACTTTGCATTGCTAAGGTGTAAACGCAAATTGCGATTAAGTTTAAAAGTAATGAATGAATATATCAATAGAAAACAAGAAATAAATAATTTCATTCCAGATTTTGTAGCTCAGGAGCCACGAAAAAAATATCTGCCAAGCGTCAATCTGTCATTAGAAAAAGGTATCTTGTAAATCTAGTTATGGTTAAGGCAAAGCAGTTTTCAGCTGGACACCATCCCGGTATTTCGGGATGTGGTTTTGTAACAAAAAAAATTAATCTATATGAAGTATGGGCCAACAAAATGTACTGAAATAATTCAATCAAGCAAATGTTTGTTCACTGTTTGTGAAAAGGTGTAAGATACAATATAATGTATGGCATTTGTTTGTATGTTATGCAGTTATACAGTATATGTATGATGGAAGTATCAGTAAACTGAAGCTGAATAATCATGTTTTCATTTAGAGTATTACTTTTGTTGAGGACTCCAACTCAATGCAAGGTATAAGAGCCACAGGCAGTTATAATTTAATAAAACAAAAATAATTTCTATCACCAGATATGGAATGTTAGTAAGATCAAAGATCGAAACAATTAATTTCTATATCTTATTGACAAAATTTTCAGTTACGGAAAATATGTATATTCTAGCATTTAAGACCATAATCACTCTACAACCAGCAATTTTAGAGATTGTTTTTACATTTGTGGTTAAACAGATTTTTACGCTTGTGGGTGATTTTTTGTTACATTTGTGGTTGACATGTTTTTGACACTTATTTTGACATTTGTGTGTACAATGTTTGGACATTTGTGGTAGATTTTTACATTTGTGGGCTCTATACTTCCCTACATGTGTACATTAACAATTAAAGGCCTGATAGTTGTGACTGTGTGTTTTTTTTTTGTAGGGGCTGATGGGGCCACCAGGAGAAATAGGCTATGCTGGCTATGGTATTCCAGTGAGTAGAAAAGAATCATTAGCATGATTACTATGGTCACAAAACACTTCCAAATCTCTGCCTATCTAACAACATGTTACCTTTTGTTAATGAGGTTAAACTACTAGGTGTCATATTCCAATAAAATTTAAAATGGGATCGTCATGTGAACCTGATGATTGAGAAAGCTAATAAGAAGTTGTATATGTTACGCAAACTTCAACAAGCAGGTCTCAATAAATTAAAAAATAAATATTGACTGTGTATAATGGGTATATTCGACTAGCCTTAGCGTATATTCGACTAGCCTTAGCGTATGCTTTTGCTGTTTGGAATGGAGGGCTCACCAGCCTGCAGGTGGGTCGCCTTGAGGGAATACAGACGAGAGTGTGCCACAATTTGCTGGGCGAGCAATACATAACCTATGAGGATGCCCTTGTTGCTCTTGGAATGGAGCATCTCAGCAACCGCCGGGCCAACTTATGTCTTCAGTTTACCAAAAAAGCCACCCTAAGTGAAAAGTTCTTTCATTGGTTCCCCCAATGAAATACAACTCACAGTATGCTACTTAGAAATCAGGGGCGGATCCAAAGATGTCCAAAACGGGGTTGAGGGGGTGGGCGAAAGTTGGTTCGATCGAGAAAACACTGTCCGAGGGGGGTCCGGGGGCATGCTCCCACGAAAATTTTGTGTTCTAGATGCCCGAAAATAACATTTGAGGCATTCTGGGCTATTTTTTTCTTTTCCGAAAATAACATTTGAGGCATTCTGGGCTATTTTTTTCTTTTCCTTTCTTTTTTTCCTTTTTTTTTTTTTTTTAACCTCCTAGCAGGGGGCCAGGCCGCACCCCACTAAGTTCGCCACTGGAAATGAAGAGATACAAAAATTTTGGCCATTCTACCACAAGATTTAAAAAAAGCCCTTTGCCATATCTCACAGCCCTTCTAAGTTCTTAAAGATAACAAGTGATAGTAATAATATCAATAAAATATGGTTATTTTTTTCGTGATCTTTTCCCATTTTACTTTTCTGTTATAATTTTCCTCATTCTGTCTAACTACAGAGTACTGTACATGATTTGGTAAATTTCATTTAAAACAAATATTGTACATATTGTTTTGTTCTAGGGCCCAACAGGTAGACCTGGAGATTGGGGTCCACCGGGATTACCAGGTCTGCGGGGTCCAATTGGATCAAGAGGTGATAAAGGATCTAGAGGTAATATCGGTCCACCAGGGTCACCAGGCTTACCGTCAACATTGAATGGAATCAAAGGACAAAAGGTTGGTGCACAATTAACTTTATCCACATGTAATAACCTTAGAAAGCCCTATAATATCATGGCAACACATTCTGAAAAAAGAGCTAGTTAGTCACAATGTTTTGGGGATAATTTTCTTGGCTTATACATTTATCTGTGGTCATAATATAACACTACTACCTATAAATCATCTTTTCTTGTCTTTAAAAAATTTTAATTGAATCGATAGCAGACAAAATGAAATGATTACATTTTAACTTAATGGTAAAAATGATTTGTATTTCAGGGAAGAAAAGGACTACCTGGATTACAGGGTAGCAGAGGCTGGCCTGGCCCACAGGTGAGAAAATGATTGTATTTTTTTATCTCATAAATGTTGAATTCTTTTTTTAAACTATATTAGTAAACTTTATTCCTTAATAAAACAAATAAAATGTACATTTCTTCTTGAAGATTAATGAACTCTCACTATCAATCAGCGCATAAATAGAAGTAAGATGAAATGATTTTATAGAAATAATATTGCGAGAAAGAAAGATGACCTTTTAATGGCGTTTGACGCTGAATATATTAACATCTTAAATACCCTTGCAAATGTGCAAAGGACAAGACTCTGCTATGTTATTTGTGACAGAAGTAGACTTATAGATCTGAGTTTTCTAGACACCCAGAAAATTCTCCGGGTAGCTGAATCTAGACTCAGAAACATAAAAATGCCTGGAGAGAAAAAACAGAAGAGCTTCTGTCTCTTTCAGTTTCTGGTGACATTAAAGGTTTTGATGATGCAATTAAAATGGTTTATGGTCTCACAGCCAGTCCTAAGTTCAAATCCAACACTCCTCACCAAACAGGCTTACATAGCAAATAGTTGGAATGAGTATTTTGTTGTTTTACTAAATCGACCATGTACTGTCGATATGGAAGTAATCAACAATCTACCTGTATATAACTTTTAATGATATTGATCTTCGCCCCTACACTTGAATAGGTATATGATGCCACCATGCTCTTAAGAAATGGCAAAGCCCTTGGCCCTGATTGCATTCCCAGAGAAATTCGGAAAATTGGAGGGCAAACTCTGGCAGCAAACCTTCATCACATTTCCAGCTCAATCTGGTTCTCTATTGTAGTTGCTCAAAAATACAGAAAGCTGTTTTTCTGGTGGATTTAAACAGCGTATCGCCCCTCTCCCGCCGCCGAATGTGAACAATCGTAATAATATACTACTTCTGCAATAAAATAGATTCTAGTTTCTTTATTAGATTCTAGATCTAGAATCGTAAATATAATGAAATAATAAATGTAAGTAATATCATACTAAATGTACATTATATAATACCAAACATAAATAATATGATGATAAATGTACATTATATAATAACAAGCGTACATAATTACTTGTATTTTGCATCTTTTATGTGTTTTAGTTTAAGATTTTATTTTTATTCTCTGTTGAAGCGTCTGGAAAACAAATTTCATGTAAACCTTGACCATATAATAAACATAAATAATATAATATGTACATAATTTAATAATAAACGCACGGAATATAATGTTAAACGTACATAATATAATAATAAACGTATATAATATGATACTAAATACTGTATACATAATATAATAAACGTGTATAATGTAATAATTAAGTACATAATATACTAACAGATATAAATAATATAATAATTAACGTAAATAATATACTGATCATAAGTAATATAATAATACATATATATAATGTAATACTAATTGTAAATAACAAATGTAAATAATATAATACTTTTTTTAGGCTTAAGACAACTGGTGCTTGCCATATTAACGGATAAGTCTATTAATATGTGATTTACTTTTATAATTAGTGTTAAGTCTACCACAAGATAAGTAACAGACTCATGGATATTCAATATACAGATATTGAAACCTTATTGACAAACTTTTATTTTATCTTCAGGGTCCACCTGGACTACGTGGGCTAAAAGGTGAGCTTGGTCCAGAAGGCCTACCTGTAAGTATACAGCATGATTTATCTACATTAATCATTGATCATAAATCTTTTTCTAAGTATTTAGGAACGTACTGAGTATATGGTGTGATAACTACTCTAATCAGGCAGACCAGACATCACTCTTATATTTTCCTGATGCAAACATTGAAATAGCATAGCACTTTCCTTGTGCGTATGCTGTGCCAAGTAGGTACTGGGGAGATTAGCTAGATTACTTGCAATGAATTTGATGATTATCCTTGTACGAGTGTAGAAAGACGGATGACTGTTGGTATTTACCTCGTCTTCTGTGACCTTGATGTTTTTTAATCAGGCGTTGAGTTCTCTGCGGTCTCTCCAATGTAGACTTTGCCACATTCACAAGGGATCCTGTAATTCCTGGACGGTTATTGTGCGATGGTTTATCCTTGTGTGTGTGTAGTATTCGCCGAATTCTGGTAGGTGCACTATGGTATATTTTGGTGTAGGCGGATTCGCTAAATTTGATGTGAGCTGTGGCATAAAGGCATGGCTACCGTCAATTCAATACAAATCAGTTCATTTAGATTTCCAGAAGACATAAAATACAATATACTTATAAATTAACAAAACTAAACCAGTCTGGAGGATCGTTGAAAAGAGAAATATACATCACTATATTATGAGAACTCTCTTTCTGGTGTAAGACAGAAATAGAACTTACATACACTTAACAACAGATAACATTAAATAAGGCAGTGAAAAGCTTAGGGTAGCCACAAAGACAAAAGATCATTGACTTCTGTTGATAGCGTATGCCAGTTTTTGGAAATAGCAGAATTAGTATTAGTATTAGTATATACATTTGTTTGTAAACTCATATGCTTAAAAAGCAGTTTATTATTTTTATGAGAAACTAGGAGGGGCAACATTGTACCATCAACCAGGAAATATGCGTAGAGACACTTTATTATAAGCTTAATTTGAAGAAATTGAAGTTCATGGTATAATAAAGAGAGTTTGAGGAAAGCAAGTCTGGCATCGTAGGATGGACGAAGGGATACGATGTTTGAAAAAAGCCAAGGAAACTTGTTCTGGTGAACCTTTTTTGTACATTCTATTTATTTGTAATACTACAAAACAAAATCACATCAATTTAAAATCAAATTTATGAAAATGCTTGCCTTATATCTTAACTTGCAGGTGATTTTATTTTATTTAATCTTGGAGCCTTTAGTAGTAGAGTAAGCAAAAAATTACACATCCAAGAAAGGAGGCGAGAAAATTAGGATGTTAGAGTAATGCACGTTATAAAACAATATTTAAGGAAAAATATAAATCATACGTATGATTGTGTATTCTGTACAAAAACAAAATTACGTCTACAGTATTAGGGCCGGATCCGCACAAGTAAATTTCTAGACCAGCGACGTGTGATTGAAAATGTCCTGGCGCTATATTTAACTTTGCTTCCATTTGTCAGTTATCCAATTGTTAAGGGTTTCTGAAATGGCTTCAATGTGGCGAGGCATTTCCAAATTGTAGGTCGACTCAAATGTCAAGAAAGGATTGGAATCATAAACTAGGGAAATTTTCGTGAGATAAAGCATGTTGCGGTACACCTTGTACGATAGCGAGTTGCTGGTGGTCCTGCTAACACGTACATTAAAAAACAGAATAGATCTATCTGACTCAGTTTCCATGATGAAGGCGATAGTGCTGTGTTGTGCATTAAGATGTAGTAGGAATTCTCCCGGAAGATTAGAGTTGTGTGGCCATATCACAAAATGCATCATCAACATATATCATAATTTTGTTCAATGTTCTGAAGTGCTGCAATTGTTTTGGTTAAGGTAAAGTGTTAAACCGTATGGTTATAGAACCCGACCATGCAGTTGCTGTGCATTTTTACTTGGTCAGCCTTACATTATTTATGTATTTCATGGCATTTTGCGTTTAATCTAGTTTTAAACGCATAGAAAATATGAATTGATGATTATAACACCTATAGATGGCCGGAACTGGCACCCTCAGACATAAATTTTAATAGAATTTGTTTTTTCCAATTTCTTTCATAATGTTGGGGGAAAAAATAGGGGGAGGGTGGCGGGCCGCCTGGACATCCCTGAATATGCATCTGATTTGAAATCAACTCAGTAATCAATAATTACTCCTCTCCTCGCTGGCCGTTTTATTGTTCAAAATTTTATTCACATGTATTTCGGAATGTACTGAGTGTTAGGGCAAAACATCACTCCTATGACATTTTCCTGACGCAAATTTCTGACCACATACAAAATAAAACAGCTATACAATTTTCAGACATTATCCATTTTGTATTTCGGCGTTAGAGTGTGTCAAATGTTATCTCTTGCAAAAATGGCAAATTTACATTTTTTTTTTACCCCAAAAGGGTATTTTCATGTTAAATATTACTAAAACTTCAATTTAAATATATTTGGTATCATATGAAAGCTAATAAACTTATCTATCAAATGATGTGTCTGAGCATACATTATAATAATTTTGTGAACTTAAAGTACCAAAAAACATATTTTATAACATTTTTGGCTAAATCAAATAATACATGTTTTATTTGTGGAAATACAAACTAACAACCTTTTGTCTGATAATCTCAAAAACTGGTGAAATCATATGACAAGGACTTGGCTCAAACTGAATGGGTTGTTGCCACACTGAATTTTGGATACATACAAAAATATTACTCAAAGACACGCATACATACATACATATATATATATATATACCGTGGCATTACAAAGTAATGTAACTACTCTCAAACAATCAAGCAAGGTGTTGCTTGACTTCTTTTCCACATAGTAACATGAGGTACAAAGAAAAGTGTAATTATTGTATTTGTGTTTATTTTCCATGGAAACCTTTACAAAACATTAATTTAATTTTAAAATTAGGGAGTGAAAGGTTACGAAGGTGCTAGAGGATTACATGGAGTCAGAGGAATACCTGGTATCCCAGGTGATACTGGTTCACCAGGAAGAAATGGGACAATGGGATTGGAAGGAATTGCTGGGGAAGACGGACCTTCAGGTGAAATGGTAATATTCAAATGATCTCATTTAGTTTTTTCAAATCAAACTTCCAGGCAGTGGCGGACCTTCAAGGGATGCACTGCTTACCCATATGAAAAAGAAAACAGAAAAATATTTGAGTGTATTTTATTAAGCATTTGTTTGCTAAAATTCTTTATACCAACCTTAACTGTTCGAGATGATTGCAACAATTCAAATAAATTGCTAAGTTTATAATTGGCTTATAACATTTGTATCTAGGAAACTACTATTGAGCCTGCTTACAACTGTAATGGCTGATTTTCTTATCAGTCATTGCCTGTTCAGCAAGTCAATACGCGTGGCGTAACTGGCACAGAATCAGCAGAAAAGAAATAATATTGATAAATTAAAAGAAAGTGGTAATTGGTGAAAATTGCTCACAAGTGAGGTGAGATGTGTATAAGAGACAGGTAGTTTATGTTTATGTTGTATTGTTTATTCTAACTATACTTTCTCGTCTGATACCTACTTTGCTTTATAAAATATTTTGTCGGGTTTTTATGCATAGGCCATCATAGGCCTACTACTGTAGGCCCCTACTTACGCTTATTAATATTATATTATTTTTAAAAAAATAAAAGATTACATTTTCATTAGAATTTTAAAAATAAAAACAAATTAGGAACAAATTGAGGCTGAGGTGAAATGTCAATTGAGGTTTTTATTTTGAAATACTAGAAAAACCAACAAAACTTATCTGTGCCTATCCCTTATTATTTGCAGGAGGTGACGTAATACGCTCTAGGCATGAGTACAGTAATGTGCTTGCTGCTGTAAGTCTACAATGATAATTTTTTATCTTTGAAAAGTGTGTAGGGTCTATAATTGTCTCTTATACACATCTTTTGTGATTTAATAAATTATATTGCTTCTAGTATGTTTACAACTCATAGCTGTTTTTTATT